TCGTATATATATATATATAAATAACGTTCTAAAAGACTGTGCTTTACACGTTCAAAAAGGATCTTAAAATCCCAATCTTTTTCAAAACCGACATATTTTTAATTATGTGTCTCCAAACCACTACACGAGTAATTAAGGTTTTCGAGCCATAACTTCTCATCCCACTGCAGTTTTTTTTTTTTTTCTGTTTGTAAAACTAGTCTTCCCGAGACTTAGCTGTATAAATTCGTGAAATGTATATCTATTTTGACGATTGATAACGTCAATATATAAATGTTGAAGGGTCGTTATTAGGTGCACGAGCGTGTGTAAAATTATTTATACTGAAAAATAAAATAGAGAAAAACTATTTTGACAATTCTTGTTGTGCTTTATGTTGGAAAAAAGTTGTCGGAATAATGATTTTCTGCATTGCTTCGTCAACTTGGATGGACCACACTTTCATTTCACACATTTACAGGTCCAAATCAGTGAAAAAGCTGTAAATTTAGAAAATCAAATTTAAACCGAATAAAACATAAACTTAAACCGAATAAAACAAAAACGACTGTATCAAAGTTTTACAAATCCAGATTTCTTTTACATAAACTGATGGCTCGAGCAACTACAGTGTCTTGAAATTACGCCCGTTTATAAAGAATCGTTCACCTTTTTTTTTTTTTTTTTGCAATTTTTATGGTAAGCAAAAAAGATTATAGGAAATTTGATGTTAAATTTGATTGTTTAAGGTAGAGTGTTGTATTTAATTTATTTTAAGAAAGAGGGAAAAGGTTAATATGATTATTTTATAGAAATAAAATAATTAAGTAAATGGAGACAACGTAAAGACACTTACCCGTGACAAGTAAAATAAAGCTGACTTAATATGATTCCCTGTGGCTTATGATATTGGGAACCGATGTTTTCTGTTTTTGGTAATTATGATATTAAATGTATTTAAGAATATGTTTTCATTACTTTCTCTTAAATATATATATATATATATATATATATATATATATATATATAGACTTGGGATCATGTGAGACCAACCTGTTTTCGTGAGACCCGTGAGCCAACATTTTACACTTGAAACTTCACAGCAAAATGCTGTGAAGGTGACTTTTTAAAACCTTCACAGTGTTTTTGCCGTGAAGGTTCGACTTTTTTTAAACCTTCACAGTGTTTTTGCTGTGAAGGTTCGACTTTTTTTAAACCTTCACAGTGTTTTTGCTGTGAAGGTTACGTGTAAAAATGTGGTCTCACGGGTCTCACGAAAACAGGCTAGTCTCACATGAACCCAACCCTATATATATATATATATATATATATAAGTTTGTTTCAAATGCAACTCATCATATTTTTACAACCAATGCAATCCAATAAATTGAAATATTTATAGAAATGATGAGCGTTCATTTATTATGATTTAAATATTTATGAAAAATGAATAAGGTTCATTAATTATGATTAATACTTTACAATATGAAACAATCAAAACTTCTATGAAATTACATATTCATCAAATTAAATGGACGGTTGAGATTCGGTTGTATTGGTTGTACAAATGTAAATGGTTGTATAATAACCCACATCTCTATATATATAAAGTTAGAACATCTTCAATAGCTACTGCCTCCGTCAAATGATTTTTAGTCTAGCGATATCGTAGTTTCTGTCCTCTTAGGAGGTCAGGAGTTCAAACCTCACCAAATGTATGATAATACGTTTTTAGTAGTTTTGAGAAAGTGATAATGTTTTCATTTTTGAACAAAATATAAATTTAAGTATACCATAAAAATTTTAAAAAAAATATCGATATTAGTGCCAAATTTATTATTTAAAGTTATGTTTTTTTGTGTAATTTATTTACTTCAATATGTTATTTATGATTTAATTTAGATTCAATAACGATGTAATTTATTTATCGTTTAATAATATAATTTTTATAAAGATAATACTTAAGTATTTTGTTATAACTAATGATTATCCTAATTATATTTTAGATTTTTTATATTCAAAATGAGATGTCTGTCCCGTATTTGATCATGTTTATCTATAGTTAGTTACACAAATTTAAAAAAGAAACGTTAATAAGTTGTACTTATGCATAATTTACTTGTGACTTTGAATTTTAAGTAATATGTATTATTAAACAATACTTTATGCATAAAAAATGATTTTTAAGCGTTTTTGTCAAATGTTTTATAATATAGTATAATATTTGTCGTATATAAATATTATATACTTCAAAAAAGTAAAATAAGTGTCCACAATTGAAATGTTACACAGTTTTAGACATATGTAATTATTACATTTTTTTTGTTAATCAAATGACATATTTACCCTTGTTTCATTTCTTTCTTTTCACAACTTTTAAATATTTGTGTATTAATTAAAGGTAAATTTGAAAATTTAGTTATTTACTTTTGAAAATAGACATTTGTTCTGGACAAACATAAATAGAAATGTAGACACTTATTTTAAGACGGAGAGAATATGTTTATACTTTCCCTATTCTCTTCTAAATTTGGAGATTTATCTGTTATCTCTAATTTTTTTCTCTATTTTAGAGAAGACTTTAACATAGCCGTGGAGCAAAGTTTTTCTAAATCTTCAAATTTTTTAAAATATCATAGCTGTCGGAGATGTTCAATTAATCCACTATTAAAAACACTAACATAAAGGTCTAGTCTACCCCAACCCACTATTATAACAATAAAAATTAAAATAGCACGCAAAGACGCATTAAGCAATACTAGAAGCGTACTCGCGCAATGCAGCGAGATAAATCGTGATTTTAATATTTCATTTTATTCTTTATCTCAGTCGATGTTATAATATGACTTTATGTGATTTTGAGAAAGCGATGATGTTTTTATTTTTAAATAAAATATATGTTTGAAGATATCATAAAAATTTGACAAAAATATATCGATATTAGTATTAAATTAACTATTTGAAATTTCTCAAATTTTTGTGTAATTTTTTAATCAATTTTTTTATAATTTAATTTATATACAATAACGAAGTAATTTATATTTGGTTTTAAAATAAGATGTTTATCTTGTATTTGATTATGTTTATCTGCAATTAGTTACACGAATTCAGATATGGAACTTTAATAAGTTGTACTTACGCACAATCTACTTGTAATCTTGAGTTTTAAGTAATATGCATTAATAAACAGTACTTTACGCATAAAAAGTAGTTTTTAAG